ATATGAGATTCTATGACAAAGAGCACACACACACACACACACACGTATCCTAGAAAGTTTGTATGTATGTATGTCCTCCTTTGTTAAACGTCTCCACGTAGCCCGTTGCAAAATTGTGCATATTCAACTTTATTCTTGGTTAAAGAATAATGATATTTGGGAAGCAATTGTGCAGTTATTTAATTTTTCATAGAATTAATTAAAATCTGTCGTTTGTTGGTGGGTGGTAGGGTGATTGTTATAACACGCTTCGTAGCGCTTATAATATAAGTAATACTTCAGCAATTGCCGTGACGCCTGCATTATTTAGTCTGAAGACTGACTCCAAACGGCTTTTTTCCCTTAACTCTGACCTGGAGCTCTTTATTTATATTTATGGACTAGTTCATATAGTCACTGGGGGTTTACAATTTATTAATACTTTTATATATATATATATATATATATATATATATATATATATTTTTATTAGTATCAATATCTCCTTCTCCTCTTTCGGGAGAGTTCGTCAAAATACTTGACTTTGTAGCGTCTCTGTCTCGGATCCATTTTCAGTTCTTCAGTGCGTTTTCGTTTTATGGACCTTGTCTTTCTGCATTCCCTGACTTGTGGTGGTGACGACACATCAAAAACATCATATAGCATTTTTATCGCTTCTTCCAATCTTTCAGGTCTTTCATCGATGGACCTTTTTTTCAGCTAATTTTGGTGCCTTTTATGTTCAAATCTTTTCCCTTTTACCATTTAAATCAGCTTCCCGATTTTTACTGATATTATGGTCTCTTCCCACGTTTCTTTACCATCCTTATATGCTCTAAAGAACACTTCATTGCCGACCATGAAACTTTTGCTGTCGTCATTGTTATCCATTCGTGTTTTTGACTTGTCGAACGCCGATTTTACTACTGTAGTAAAAATGAATTCCACCAGCGACATGCTTGATGGTGTATTGGGATTAGGTGTTACACGGGAAACTCTCAGAAAATGCTGAAGTGCTTCCTCATTTTCTTTCTTAAGATTTACTCTTTTGAAAGTTCCCACAAACCATTCCGCTTGTCCGTTCCACCTTGGGTGATATGGTGGGGAATATACTCAATGAAGAACATCTTACAAAAGTCTTCGAATTCTTTACCCGTGAATTGTTTTCTGTTATCAAATACTGTGGTATCTGGTATGCCATATCTCGCAAACAGTTCATGCAAGAAATTCACTATCACTGAAGATGTTGGATTTTTGCAATTATAAATTTCTGGCCATTTAGAGAAACTATCAACTACCACAAGATAATGTGATCCATTGATAGGACCTGCAAAATCTAAATTCAGTCTTGACCATAGCGTGTCTGTCTTTGGCCAAGGTACCATCTTTGTGACAGGCAGTTTTGCTGCGAGAGCACAACTCTGCAAGTTTTCACTTTGGTCTACAGTTGGAAATTTGTCTCCAGCTGTGCTGGTTGAACTCTGCCTCCGGGAAGAGAGAATCCCCAGTCGATGCTATGTCAAAGGGCAGAGTCTCGTCTCAGAAAATAGCTACCGGACCCGTTTTATACGAGGTCTATGGGGGAATTTTTGACCTACCCTATGGGCTCGGATACCCCACATTAAATTCACCCTTGTGCCACATCTGACCGCGTGGGGCGGTTGTAGATATCCTCCAAGCTTTCACTATCTTTTTAATGTCTGATCCATTCTGGTCCAATATAAGAAACTTCTAATCAGATTTAATTCTAGAAATACCAGGATGGCTGCTGTGAAAATCCTTCAATGTAACACACTAGGTATTACAACTCTTTCCCCGAATATTACTACATCGTTGCACGGAGGGTAAGCGTTTAAGTCTGAAATTCCTTCTTTATTACTTTCTTTCAATTGCTTTTTATTCTCGCAGTAAAGACATCATTTCCCGCTTTTTCTTTTTTTTTCTTTCAGGGTAACTGGTAACTCTCATACTCTATTGTGCAAAATGTTTTTTTAATTTTCATTTTGCTTTTTAGTGCTGCTATGACTGTGTCGTCAAATGGTTGTGCATTTTTAGATATTAATCTTGATAATCCATCCGCATGTCTTAATTTTTTAGACGGTTGGTACTCCATTGTAAAATCATAGTTTAATAAGATGGTACCCCAGCGTTATATTCTATTAACTGTATGCGTAGATATTCATTTCTCTGAATCATATATAGAGGTTTGTGGTCTGTTTGCAACCTAAAATGTCTTCCATGAATAAACTCATGAAATTTCTTCACAGCAAATATAATTGCTAAAGCCTCTTTTTCTATCTGGCTGTAATTTTCTCTGCTGGTAGAAGCGAGCGCGAAGCATGAGCAAAGATTTTCATTTTACTGCCATCGTATTTGTGTAAAATCACTGCTTCAATATCGTACTCACTAGGATCTGACGTCACTACAATTTCTTCTTTTGGATCGTAGTGTGCTAATGATAAATCTAACGGAACTTTTTTATTTCATCAAACGCATTTTGACAATTATCATTCTAGTTCCAATTTACTCCTTTTTGACGTAGATTGTTCAATTGAACTCTAAAATTATGCATATTAAGAACATATATTTGATAGTAATTAGCCAGTCCTAGAAAAGCTTGTAACGTAGTCACGTATAGTGTTGGAGGCAGGCTTTTAATTGCACTTGCCCTCGACGGATCTAGTTGAGGACCATTTTTCTCAATAATTTGACCGAGGTATTTAATTTTCGGCAAAAACAATTCCCATTTTTCTTCACTGAGCTCGAACCCGTACTCTTAGTATTTCCAAATCGTTTTCCCATCCACAACATATTGTTCTTTAGATACAGTTTTGATTAAAATGTCGTTCAGATAGCCTCGTCGACAAGGCTATTAGAACTGCCTGACTTCCAATGGCTTCTTCTTCTGACCTCTGACCCGGAGTATATAGTTTATAGTTATTGACTAGTCCATATAGTCACTGGTGGGGGTGTACTATTTACTCCACAACAGGGATTTAAATACAATTCTTTTCAAGGTGGAGTAATGCATAGGAGTTCGGATTGAGGAATGCGGCCGTGTTTGTTACATTCATTTACATGTAAATACCGTTGGGAAATGTATGCATCCATCTCTTCTTGCTACACCTAAATAGCAGGACAGATTATGTACTGTAGCCTTGGTTGGCAACTGGTCTAAGAGAAGAACAATTTTGAATTCAAAACATTCAAATATGGGTCAACTAGTCTCACACCCTGCAATTCGCGAAACCTGATGAGTACAGTTATACCCCTGAAGACATAGTCAATCAGGGAGGGCTTCCTCGAAGGGATGAGGAGGCCCTGGATCTGAATTCGGATCAGGATCTGATCCAATCAGTTTTCATCGCTGGTAGAACTTGTCAAGGAAATCTTCAAACGCATCAAGATGCACAATTATAAAAAAATGAGTAAATTGTATTCCTTTAAATGCGCAAATTTAACAACTTAATTATAAAATATTATTAAAGTAATAATAAAATATTATAAAAATATTAATTCAAGAATATAATAATATATAATAATAATATAATAATATATAATAATATAATAATATATAATTACAATATTACAATGCATTGGCTGATTTGTATATACTCCACTATATTCTGACATTTTATCGTTGGTGGATTTACAAATTTCATTGCAAAGAGTAGATCTCTGGTTAGTAAACAGAACCATCAGTGTTTGAACAACCCATAAAATGTTTTCCTTAATATTTATCAAAATGACATGTTAAATTTTCAAGATTAATCAGGTATCTCTGAATTATTCTGTCGATTAATTACAAAGAGTTTCTGGTATTAATCATAATATTTGTGTGAATTACAAGAAGTTATTGTTTTTATTATTTCATCCCAAGCAAGGCAATAATTGCCATTCAAAAAAAAGGGGTTACTAAGTGTGAAAGAATATGAGGAAAAACATCATTAAAAAGAGTGAACAATAAAAGAATTAAGAAGACAGAAGATAGCGATTAACATTGCATTTAAATTTTTGAAACTTAAAATTATCCCACAAGCGAGAAGTGTGAGAGAGGAATCTGTTAGCATTTTACTGAAATTAAAATGTAACCTCTTTTTGAATATTTGAAATTTTGAAAGTATCAAATTCACTTTTTAATATTGGCCTTTCATATCGATTTTTTCAAATGATATATTTATATTATTTTTCTGAAAATCCCATATTACTAATGCTCCATGTTACTAAATAAGGGTTAATTTATTTTAATGCCACCCACCCAACTGGCCAATAATATCAAAAACATTTCAATATTTATTCGCTATGTAAATACACCTATTGACAAATCTGACAATGGCTCGTGCTTCTGAAAAACAGGACATGATGAAGTGATTGTGCGTACATTTTAGAGTAAACATCTTTATCAAATATGACATTTAAGTAAAATATGCTATATCTATCTCTCTATCTATCTATCTATCTATCTATCTATCTATACATTTTGTGAGGAGGAGAGATTTATCGTTTGTTTCCTGTTACAAATAGCTAACTGAAAGCCGTTCAGATCTAACTACTGTGGCGAACGTCGTACAGATACAAGATAAACGTAACTGATTACATACTAGACTTCATTTTTTAAAAAATATAAAACAAGCATTAAATAACAATTATTTTATTAACAAAGGAAATTTAACTACCGTTCGAAAAAACGAATAATGAATACTACACATAATGTAAACAATTTAAAATCCAGCACTAACCTATTCTACAGAAAACAACTACACAATATTAACAAACTAGTCCATGCATCCATTTTTTACGGCTTATCAACCCTTAGGTGGTTATGTAAAGTCAGAGTTTTTTTGGGGGGTAATAATGGTTTAGTACTAATTAACCCATAGCTGGGGGAAGAAGAGGTGAATTCATATCCTTCCCAAGAAAATTAGCGCATAAGTGAACCCAACGGGAATTGGAATTCGGCTCACCGATTAACAATTCCGAGTGTTTATCCATTATAGTACCCGCATATCCAAGCTTATGGTTCCTGGTATCCCCAAGGGTCACCCACCTAGATACTGATCAAACTCGATGTTGCTTAACTTCGGTGATCGTATGGGAAGCGTTGTTTCAACGTGATGTGGCTGTAAGTCTTCACAAACTAGACAACAAAATATAAGATAACTAATGCTATCAATTTAGGAACATACATACTGAATCTATTTCACTAAAAAGATGGCTAGCCACCACATACCGATGTTTGAATTTAGATCAGAAACCAGGAGATTCATGCCTGATGTAGTATCTGGTCATTCGTTATTATTATTATTATTATTATTATTATTATTTCCTTTGATTTCTGGCGTTTACACATTTCTTTTCGGGCATCATGACATTTTCCACTGACAAAAAAAAAAATGACATAGATAAAGCCCTCGATAATATTCTCGATATGAGACATTCTCTGTTTGTGTGTTGGTAATCCGAATTTCTTTCGAGAATGTCTCATATCGAGAATATTTCACATTGAACATGAAGAAAAATTAATTATTTTTAATAATATGTAGAAATCTCCACTTTTACCTGAAGACGGTCGCGAGACCAGAAACGCGTGTCGTAAAATTATGTAAAACAAAGCATAATATTTTTTCTAAATAAATCCACATTACAACCAAAAACGTTAGCGGCACCTCTCTTCTCTTCTTTTTATATATATATATATATATATATATATATATATATATATATATAGTCGTATGAAGGGCGCATTGAGGCCTGGAATTGACAATGACCATGTAGTGGTGATTCCTATATTCACGCCATATATATATATATATATATATATATATATGTGTGTGTGTGTGTGTGTGTGTGTGTGTGTGTAACTGCGTACATATATACACATATAAACTGTGAAATAAAATTAAAAACATTATTTGGCCATCTGTTGTTCTGTCAGATCTGCTTTTAGAACTTTTGTCTAATTAACAGTAAACTCTTTTCGTCAAACATTTGGTTTGAATTTTCTTAAAATTTAATTATCTTTATTACAACTACAGACACTAAAAGTAGTTTTAGTTGAAGAAAAAGAAATGATGGAACGATGATACAGTTAAGATAACTTGGCGTTGCATGGAATGATATAGCGTCATATCATTAGTAAATTTCTCTTATCCATGTACGAAGTGATATCAGAAAGTTTCTGTAAGAGGACAAAAAAAGTACACAATTTTTCTTCTTCTTCTTGACAGATTTAGGCTCTCCCCAGCTTCCAATCCCCTATGACTCTTAGTAATGTTTGTTTTTACTGTCCCACTTCTGTCGCTCATACATTCTCTATTTCCTGTGAGAGTCAAGTTTTTAAGCTCGATTTCCACATTTATGTGTCATAGAAAGTTCAACTTTATGTGTCATAGAAAGTTCTGCTTTTATTTAATTACACTTAACACTTCATCGTTAGTAATATACTCAGTTCATGGCATTCTCAGCGTCTTTCTCTAGAAGCAAATCGATGTTGCTACAAGTTTCACCTTCATCTGTAAGGAGATTGCCCAGCATTCAATGCCATATAGGAAGACATATTGCATAAGAGTTCAGCACTCTTAATTGAATAAATTAGATTTCATATTTTTTATATTTAGCCACCATTCATTTTTAGATTGTCGACTTGAGAACACCTCCATTGATTCTTGCGTCTTTTTCACGCGTGAGAAGCACTATGGAAATCATCTTCCTGAAGCTGGTTCAAAAATCACCTGCGATTTCGTTTGAATTTCATCTACTTTCAGGAAGAGGCATCCCTTTAGATTAAATTTATGTTTTTAATGAACACGGCGAAGTTAGAAGAGGATAAACTTTCTCAAATTTTCAGTCCTTTTGCTGATGATTGGTTTTCGGAACACTGATCATTTTAATCCGAATTAGATCAACTTTGGAATCAGGTTCAATATCTGAGTTCCAGGGAAAGCCTGATGAATGATTTTAAGGCTTTTGAGTAGCATATTTGTGAAAACTTCATTCCAGTGGAGCAGTTTAGATTAACCCCCTTCCAGAACACATAGGTTATGACTGAGACGTGCCCACTTCATATCTCGAGATAACTTAGCCCTATCTATACTCCCCGTAGCCATTTTGTACTTACTTTTTAATCATTTCGCTCCAGTAAGGCGATAATACCACTAAGACGCATAGGGTTACTGAGTTTGAAAGGATATGAGAAAAAGAAAACATTATTAAGGAGAGAGAACAATGAAAGAGCAGGAATCAAGACAGAGGGTAACGCCTGGCATTGCATTTAAACTTTTTAAAATCAAAGTTTACTGGAAAACACTAGCACTGTTAATATTTAACAGCCCTAACGAGGTTTGTATGTGGCACAAAGCTGAGTTTAATGTGGGTTCTCCGAGAACGTAGGCTAGACCAAAAATATTCCCTTAGAAGCCGCATAAACGCGTTCAGGGCCTGTCTACCTCCCCAGACGATATTTTGCCCTGCGGCAAAGTCTCGTCCGGGTTCCTCTCTGTTCAAGACAGAGAGTTTGACAGAGGAACAGTCTAGCACTGTTATATTTAACGCCTTCCCAACAGAATATACGGCTGCATATAGCCATTTCACCTGTATAGTGATGAGACCTTATTGCCAATCTAGTACTGCGCTTAAATTCATAGTCTTGCTACCAAAGAGGAAAGCTCATCATAAAAACTATCATGAAAATATTTATAGAAAAGGCACAGGAAAACTACATTACGGCAGTGGGAAAGTGATTGAAGCAGGGATGCTATTTCAGGACCAAGAAAATAAATTCTTCTTTGTATTTTATTAAAAATCTCTAAACACGTAGCAGAAGTACCAGGCCTGATGTGACAGCAATATTCAATGTACAGATGAAAGTATTAGCGAAATAATGAACATTTTAGAAAGTATATCCGCCTTTAACTCCACTTTTTCTTAACTGGAAACTAAAAATAACTTTTAATGTGACCCGATTTACAAGTAATCACGTATCCATTTTTCTAAAAAGGAATTAATCTTGTTCAATTAATACAGTTGTACTAAAGTAAACTCAGTGCTATAGAGAGCAGCTGAATAAACAAAATTGTGCCTTGAAGACTGCTTGCACAAAACAAGAGCGGTCAGTAACAAAAATGACCATTCTTCAATCATTTTGACCAAAATCAAATCAGCATCCAGAAAGTAGAAATCAAGGAATCAGAATAAAACACATACATGTGATATATTATTCCTGATTATTATCTGTGAATACAGTCATATGAATCTCATTACATAGCAAAAGTAGGATGCATATTCTGGCCTGGGGTAGTATATCATAGCCTAAACTATATTATATTCGGCTGTATAAACTGGCCTAGCTTAGCTTATACCTTGAGGATAGACTAGCCTAGAATAACTCATATACAATTTTGGGATGGGTGTATAATTTGAACTGTTACATCAGCACATTGTTCGGATGTATTCACTATAGTAAAGATCTCAGAACCGTTCCACTACAGCATTACAAAAATTCAGTAGTCTAGGTGCCAATAGGCGTTAGCAGCTCTTGTAATTCTATTGAACTATGGATGACAGGCACTTTTTGATGCCAAATCTGATAACAAAGCAAACGATTACGCTTAATAACTAAATATAAATTTAAAAAGAAATTCATAAAGCCATATTCTTCGTGTTTTAACCCTAACCATTTGATCCGAGACTTTTGATCTTAATCAGAAAGTAGTGTCAGTCAGTTTTGTTCAAAACACGCAAGGAATGAGGTTGATAATATTATAAACAATGATTACTTTTATTTATTTTATTTATCCGTGCTTTCTAGCTGATGCAGACAAAGTGAATCGTCGAATAAATGGAGCACTTAAGCATCATTATATTCATATAAAAGTTAATAGAATCAGCCAGCTTCGGGAGTTTGCCGGTAACTTTAGATGGCAAAAGAATCACAAGTGATTGACAACGATGTCAACATTTTTAGATATCTGGCGAAAATTATAATGAAATAACTGTCATGCATTGATGTCTGGGAAGTCGCTAGAAATCGAATAACATCTTCAATTAAATATTGAACCAACAAAACACCATTACTGAAAGGTTTTGCTTGAACTTTGTCGGATTAAGCAAAAGAATTAGAGATTACGAGGAACCTTTAATATATATATATATATATATATATATATATATATATATATATATATATATATATATATATATATATATATATATATGCAGAATAGTAATAAACCCAAACTTCATTGTAAAATCTGACTAAATGACAAAACAACAGATTTTAAAAATCTCAATTTGATCTGTTCGAGAAATTTTCAACTCTCAGGCGTTTACACACACACACACACACATACACACACATATACGCGCATATATATATATATATATATATATATATATATATATATAGAAAGAGAGAGAGGAAGAGAGCGGAAGACCAACACCGGCATTAATTTTGATTTTACAAATACCACCCGAATTAAAGAGAGCATAATTCTTTACGTCGAAAATAATTTGAGGAAGTCCTGAGAAAAATTTTGCTAACTATAAAAACACGTTAAAAAACTCAATATTACATCACGAACCTTTATTAAATCTATTCTTAAAGAATTTAAAATATACTTGGGTACCACGACAGGTATTGACGACGTTCCCAAATCAGCATCCATACAACCTCCAAAGATAAATAATGCCTACTACTACTTTTACTACTACTACTACTACTACTACTACACACATAAAGCCGAATCCAATAGAGACAATCTAAAATTATGATACACTTAAGCACATATATTATACACCCAAACGCTGCTTGACAAGACAAATACATGTGAAGTCTGCTTAACAAAGATAACAGAAATGTTTTTTTTTCCATACTTCATTCTCTGCTAGAGCATTAATAATGGCGAAACATAGATTTATGAACGTTTCCTATTTGTTCTTTACATATCATTCTGTCGGATTCCGATTCGTAGATCCCTATTTGATCCATTTCGTATATATATATATATATATATATATATATATATATATATATATATATGTGTGTGTGTGTGTGTGTGTGTGTGTGTTGTGTCCTGCGTTAAATGCCCCAAAATGCATAAATTAATTTCCCCTAATTATCAGTTTA